TAAACCTGAGCGTAATATAATAACTATCAAAGCTACCGGTAGTAGACAAAATTATGCACTCACTAGTTTCAGATCTTCATCCCAACATCCGAACTGGATCTCTGTAGTGAGGAAATTCCAAAGTACGGCAACAGCAATAAAAATATTCATTTCTTGGATCACATCAACACTACAGCTATTTTTCTACATTGAAAGTAGTTCACGATTGTGCAGCCTGCATGACTTTTGCATGAAGTAATTTATATCTAATTGGGGATCAATTGTAAAATTAACACTTTCTCTTGTAAATCACTACATTCATATAAAAAAGCTAAGCAAGATGCCTTTCTTGTTGGTGTATATTTTCCAAAGCAAAAACTGTACATTGCTGAACAGAAGAGAGTTATCCTATTTCAATAGACAAATTTTAATAATAAAAAGTAGCATGACCTATTGTGTTATATCCATAATCCTTGACCTCAGAAGTCACTTTTTTTCATTTAAAACTAGTTTTTATAATCTCTTTAAAAACTGAATATTTGACCTTTTTAGGTCATTGGATAATTCAGCCAAAGGTAAATATTTTTAAGCAGCCATTGTGGTCCATAAAATAAAAGCATATCTTAAATTAGAATTAATGAAAGTTAAAAGTTCTCTACATTTACTCAATATATTTCCATAAAAGTCTGGCTCGCTGATAAAAGAGATACACTTAGCATAATTATTTTGAAGAAAATAATTTATATTTTAAACGAATTAGATTTTTTTTAAAGAATCTGTTTTCAGTTGTTCTTGCATCATAGCAACCTTGCCACTTTCTCATCAGAATATTTTCCATCATCTAGGTTATATAAAGTATATTTTAATGTGTTGTACAGCGTAGAAATTAAACTAATGTCATGTTTTAGGAATTTTAACAAATCTGTCAACCTATTATAGTTATAACTTCTAAAAAATAGTTTGCCTATTTTGCTTGATCAGTTTTATTGGTGGCAATGTTCAGATAATGGAAACAAAGTTGTTTATACATAAATAAGGCTCAGTTATACTAAATCTCAACTTCCAGGTTAAAGATTAAAAAATAATCTCCCAATCAGCAATGTACAGCTTTTGCTTTGGGAAATATACGCCATCAAGAAAGGCTTCTTGCTTAGTTTTTTTTATTTGTTACGTAACTGACATTAATGTTTCTTCTATTGCAAAGTGTAGCTGAATATATCCTTGTTTCCTGATTCTAATATCAGTTGTTCAAACCAGCGTTTCTTAAACATCTAGTCTGAAGGCCCCTTGGAAGTACCCCAAGACCCTCTTAGGGGTTACACAAAATCAAAATTATTTATTGCCAGATATTGAAGGTATTAGCAAAAATTTAAAACTGTCAATCTTCTCATTATTATTTTATTTTGTTACATAAGTAGGATTTTTTTCACACATACCATGACAAAAATATTGCTCAATGCCATTAGGACAATTTGTCCATCCTCTTATGAATAAAAAAGATTTTCCTGTTATGCTTTGAAATTTGAATGCATGAAACTTCTTTGGACCTGTGAAATCCAGTTAAGCTTCTGGGTCGTAATGCTTATTTAAAAGTCTCTCCTGAAAGACAGATTTTCTGAGGAGACTATTGGGTATCTTTGCTAAATTTAGTTCATAAGATCTAGTGTCATTAGTATCTAATGATTTAATAGTGTTATTTTTACCTGATTCAATAAATAAATATTGTACATTCTATATTAATATTTAATACGGTAAATATCAATATATATAAGCCATGTAAAACAGAAGCTCTGTTGGGATCCTCCATAATTTTTAGAAGTGGGAAGAAGTTGTGAGAAAAAAAGTTTAAGAAACACTGATCTAGACTAAGGGAGATTAATTTATTTAGTATCTTATAAGCTAGGACAACCTAGGATTTTTATCAAAACCAATTAAAACAACCATACAATCCTTCTAAACAGAGGTTCTTAAAGTTTGGATTTAAACTGCAGAATACCTACATTACATAACTGGTAAAGTCTTAGGCATGCATTCCCCACCACCAACCACCAATGCGCACATACTTTCTCCCTAAATATATCAATTGGCTCCTAGAATGTGGAAATAATTTTAAAATTCCTTCATATTATTCAAAAAGAATTACCCAAATTGTGTGTTTAACGAAACAGTGTTTTTTGGTAGCTAAAGCAATAAACATTGCCTTTAGGAACAGTAATAAGACTTCCAACATCTGTTTTGAGCTGATATTGTTACCATTCAGTGTTGACTATACAATGCCTAGTTGGCGGTCTCTGTTATATGCATATGAAGCCAGAAACCAAGACTTTGAAAGAGGTAGCAAATTGGTTTGAAGTTCCAATTTGGAAATTGTAAATGATACAAAGTTGAACGAACAAAAGTTTTACATTTCAAGACATTTTGCAAAACATTACCACGAGTTTCCATTCAGATATACTGTATGTATGCAGACATAACTAGAGATAAAACATGGGGTTTTTTTGTGAGCAGTAGGTTTATATACTGATCTTTAATAGAATGGTGAATAACTACTTCTGATGTGGAAGGGTTTAGTTCAAACAGTGTTCAAGTGCAAATTTGCAGATTTTATTTTTAATACAGGCACATAGATTATAACAGAAAAACGAGCTTGAGTAGTGGAGCAGAATATATTTTTAATAGAAACTGTAGATCAGAGAAGTTACTATTAGCCAAAAAAGAGTGGAAGGAAATACATACCATGGCAAAAATATTGCTCAATACCATTAGGCCAATTTCTCCATTCTCTTGTAAATAAAACAGATTTTCCTGTTATGGTTTGCAATTTGAATGCATGAAATTAGTTCAGAACTGGACCTGTAAAATTCAGTTAAACTTCTGGGTCTAGTAATGCCTATTAAAAGTCTTTCATGAAAGACAGATTTTCTGAAGAGACTATTGGGTGTCTTTAGTAATTGTTAGGGTCATAAGATTCAATCTTTTGAAGCATATGATTTTCAACATGGACTGTAATTATAAGAAAATGTTCCATAATTATTGTGACAATTACAGCGCCCAAGTGCCTGAGCTCTTATTATAGGATGGTTCTCATTTTCCCTTTAATTTTTGCTTTTGCATCAACTTTTAAAGTTGTCCAAAAATATATAACTGACAAACAGAATAAATAGAACCACATTTTATACAAAATAAGGTTCTTGTTTTTACCCTGTATGCTTAAACCTTGTACTCTTGATTTGTACAGAGCAACAATAAAATGCTATGGCACATGGATTTTGTAGTGCTGAATGGGTTACATGCTTATCCACACTTATAACATTTTCACCTATATATTGTATATATCTAAATTACATGGCTATCACAAGATCAATTTCATTCTTTTCTGCTTAATAAACCTGCTCCAGAAACATGGCAAGATAATATTCAAGTGCCATTTTATTTAAACTACTTTTCTATACCTCTTGAAAGCAGAATGACTGCTTTTGGAAAATCCACAGCCACTTTTCCTGATTGTGTAAGGCATACAGAAACTATCAGAGATAGGTAGTCTTTCAAATAGTAATGAGAGCTTTATAACCATAACCAGTTTCTTGTATTGCACTCAGAAGCCAATTGTCAAGCAGGAGATCTCACAGAGAAGAGGTATCACAGGTACATAGAAAGGCATGTCTGTTACCGCCTGAGCTGCTGCATTCTGGACCAGTTGTACCTTCGAGGCTTATCACACTTCGTCCACTTACGAAGTGACTAAGGTATAAATGGTCATATAGAGTGTATTTTCATTCCAGGAATTTTGCAGCTCTTTTGTAAGATATAATGTCTGACTAAATTGCACTTTTCTGAGTTAGGATATGAAAAGTAATGCTTTATTCTGTTTTTTTTTAGTAATTCCATTTTATTAATAAACATTGTGATTCCATTTACCCAGAGAGATCATTGCTAATGGTGAATTCTAATTAACTAGGCAACAATTGAAGGGGGCTTACCTGAAAACAGAGACACTAAGATCAAGAATTAACTAGGAGTTTTAACATCTACATCTTCAAATAATATTTACCATCTCAGATATTTCCTCTAATGTAATGCTGCATGTGATGATGGGTTGTTTCCCCCCCCCCCTTTTTGGACTTTTTTTTGTCCTTTTTGGCCTCCCTCTCCTCCCCCCACCCTTTTTTTTCTTGGTTTTTTTTTTTTGTTTTGTTTTTGTTTTGTTTTTTAAAGCCTAGCTTATTGTGGTGTTTATTAAATATACAACAGAGAGATACGGGATGTACAAACTTAGTAGGGATGCACCTGTGATCAAACGACATATTGTATGTGAAGATGGGTTTCCCCTCCCCCTTTTTTGGTCATCTTCTCCCTTTCCCATTGTTGTCTGTGTAACTAGGAGTTGTTCTTTCTGAGAATGTTTTGTTCAATGTTTTTATTTCATATACATACATACATACATACATACATACATACATACATACATACGTTGTATTTATGCTGATAAATAAATAAACATATAATAATATATAATAATAACATAACATATATAACATATAATAATAATAATAATAATAATAATAATAATACATATAATAATAATACATATAATATATAACATTTGGTCATCTGTCACCTGATTCTATCACCTTATTTCTTTCAGATACAAAGCAAGTAAATAGAAGCTACATGGGCAAACTACATAAAATGTTCCTTGCAGCTGCATTAAGTATATCTTTCACTGCCTTGGGGCAAGCAGGCTATGCTAAGATGATTTCTGCATCTGCAAATGATTTACTGGTTATATAAAATAACAAATAGAAAGTTCAGCCAAGTTGTTGTTGTTGTTGTTGTTGTTGTTAACATTTGCTGTGGCGTCCAACTCCAGAAGACTGGGCATTAAAATTTTGAAGAACCAAATAATACAACATTACCGCTCAGACTACAAGACAATTCTAGCAATAAAATTTCTATTATTGAAATAATCCATTTTAGCCACTGTATAAACAATTGAATGTTTTAAATTTCTCTTTTTGCAGGATCATTAGTGCTTGGAGGAATTCTTTACTCCTGGCAGTTTCCTCATTTCAATGCTCTGAGCTGGGGCCTCCGTGAAGATTACTCCCGAAGTGGCTACTGCATGATGTCTGTCACTCACCCTGCATTGTGCAGGCGAGTGGCTCTGCGTCACTGCTTGGCCTTAATTGGACTCTCGTCACTGGCTCCTGTCCTTGATGTGACCACGTGGATTTTCCCTGTAATTTCTCTCCCATTCAACTTATACATTTCCTACCTTGGCTTTCGTTTCTACAGAGATGCAGATCGTGCCAGCTCGAGGAAGTTGTTTTTGTGCAGCCTCTGGCACTTGCCAGTGCTCATTTTTCTTATGTTAGCCTGCAAGAAGTCATTGGCCCGTGAGGACAAGCCAAAGCAACCTACCACCTGAGATTACCTCATGTTGAAAAAGTCATGTGTTTCAATATTAAACATGGCTTCAGAAGCTTGTCTTCCAAATGGACAGTTTTGATTAATCATGGCAAATGGAAGAAGTTGGTGTTGATACGATCTGAATTGTTTCTGTGCAATAAACACAGTGTTTATTATTTTAAAATTAAATGATTTCGTTTAAGGCACTTTCATGGCTCTTGGGTTTGAATGTTGTGATTATTATTTATTTATTTTAGTGCTATCCCACTCCTTTAGAATTTCCCAGAGTACTGCAGAGAAAATATTTTGTAAAGATAAATGTTCAGTAATAGCATAAAGAAGTATATCATAATACTCTTGGTAATGCTTTGTACTATAGCTTTATAAAACCATTATGCAAAAGTTAATCCCTTTTGTGACAATAGCACATCTGAGATAACTATATCTGTCTATAATCCTAAGCAATACTTGTCCTATATTTGAAACGACCTAAAAGTTGTTTCTTCAACCACTTTCCTAAGCTTGGACAGTTATAAACTGCTTCCTACATAAAACCTGCTTTTAAATGACCCCTTTTGTCCTAATATGATAATGTTGTATTGTATGAATGAAACAGCCACATTTCCATTTGCTTCTACCTTCTCTGATATTTTGAGACTAACTACTCCCTATTATTTATATATTTTGAAAGACAAACATATCTCTTTCTCAAATGACTTTTAAGATGGTTTGACTAGCAAACAATATGTCAGCTATCTTTACATAAAACGTATTGATTGGCTTACACAGCAGAAGGTAGTGACTGACAAAATGGCTTCAGGGCAGATGGTTAACTTGATCAATACATCATATTGCATAACTTGGGGAAATGTGGTAGAACAGTGGCTTAATGAAGTGAGCTCCTGCCGCTTGCTCCCCAGCTCCTGCCCACCCAGCAGTTCAAAAGCACTGCAATAGTGCAAGTAGATAATTGGGTACCACTTTGGTGGGAAAAATCTAGCTGTGTTGCAGAGAACAGAAGCCGGTGTTGGACCTTGCCAGACACGGGGCAATGGAACACGAGGCGAGGTGAGACTAGCAGAGTAGCCCAGAAGAGCCAGCAACCCAAGGTCTACTAGTCATTTGTTCTAATCTAGTTCGCCCTCTGCAGTATAAGGATAGGCACACAAGTGCTGAACATAATAAACCAGTAATTTTAAGTGGTTGGGACTGCATTGTGTCTAGCATTGGCAGATTTCCCTGACACCATATGCTATATGCTAAATAAATAAGCCTCATAACTTGATAGAAAAATATTCCAACTGCCCAGGAGGAACTCTTTATACTACTTTTATTTGTTTAAGGTTGCCTTTCAATTAAAATTCCAAAATGAAGCTTTGAAAGAAACAGAGTCCCTCTATAGATCAGTTTGTATTAAGATTGATCATGATCCTGTATATGTTTCCTGACTTCCATCACTCTTTCATGTTATATTTCATCAAGCACCTTTGGTGCAAGTTGGAATTGTAAATGGAGGAGATCATCTGAGTTTGGCAACTGAGAAAACATTTTGAACCAATCAAAAATAGCCATAGGGTGAAACCTTTATGAATGATTAGCCACAGAAACAGACACTTGTTTATGACTTCAAGATGTTATGTGTACAAAATAGTTTATACCATAGCATAATTTTAATTGCTATTTTTATATCATCGTCTCAATATTCTCAATGCCATCTATGCACTTTAAAAACAAAAACATGTAAAGTGTGATACCAAGCAATAAAAAGCATACTCAATAGATTTTATTTAGTTTCATCTACAGTGTAATTTACTCTGCAACATTTCCCAATGTAGGGTCCAGAATTAAAATAGCCATACTTGCTCACACTTTTTTGCATTCATTTATATACATAGAAATTAAATCAAACTAATAGAGTGCAGTCCTGCAATAGTATCCCAGAAACCATGTAATAAAATGGTATCTTCTTCCGAGGAGAGACTGGTGTGGTTTCAATAGGAGAAAACTCATAATGGACAATGTCTCCACTACATACCTGGCATGCAGATCTAAAGTATCTACACTATCCCCAATGGATTATGTAGTTCTCCTCAACTCGTTTGTGCAGACCACGCCAGAGGTGAGTTGCTCCCGGTTTGGCTGAACCAGTAGTGACGGTGGCGGGAGGCTCTACCCATCTCCTGGACGCTAATGTTCATGCACCATTATTAAAGAACAATCTACCCACTTAACTGTAAACAACCAAAAGCTGAATAGAAGAGATTGTAGTCCTGAGGCATAATCATGACATGACATCATCTTACTATTTTACCAGGAAAAGCAACCTCGGTTTACTATGTTTAATACATTTCTGTACAAAGTTTCTCCTTAATTTGAATAACTATGTGGTAAGCTAACTAGCAGCAGGGATGTGGTGGCTCAATGGCTAAGATGCTGAGCTTGTCGATCAGAAAGGTCGGCGGTTCGAATCCTTAGTGCCACGTAACAGAGTGAGCTCCCATTACTTGTACCAGCTTCTGCCAACTTAAAAAATTGAAAGCATGTAAAAAAAATGCAAGTAGAAAAAATAGGAACCACCTTTGGTGGGACGGTAACCGCATTCCATGCACCTTCGGCATTTAGTCATGCCGGCCACATGACCATAGAGATGTCTTTGGACAGTGCTGGCTCTTCGGCTTTGAAACAGAGATGAGCACCGCCCCCTAGAGTCAAGAACGACTAGCACATATGTGTGAGGGGGACCTTTATTTTAAGCTCACTAGCAAAATAATTATATTGAAGTTTCACAACATCAATTACCAATTACTGAATACTCATTAACTAATCAGATACTAATAAAAATAAAATACACTAATAAAAATCTTAATGCTTTCAAATATTAACTAAGCATTCTGTAGTTTCAGTGAAAAATGCCAGGCTGAGATTATGGTTAGTTTGGTTTTTGCCTATTTTCTTTTTGCCTGGAATGCGGGTGAGGGGACTTTCGTTGTGCAGAACCTAAGACCAACAGGATGAAGCAGTGATTTTTCATTCCTGGTTCTTAATATTTCCTATTGGCAGAAATGAACACAGTCATCGATCACTTTTAAATGCTTTTGAGGGCTTGGGGGCTGAAAATGACAATTTGGTTTAGTGGAAGTTTGAATGTGCCTCTAGAGAAAATTTTGAAACAGGAAGTGCCCATTGCATTGCTCATTTCATTCAGTGTGTGAGTTAACAGTGCATTTATTTTCTCTCTCTGATTTGTCTGAAGAAACTAAATGAAAACAGTAGTTCCACTTTTGTAGGAGCTTCCTGAACACGAAATGTTTATAGCAACATGGGAAAGACTCCTGTCTAAAATTCTGAGTAGCTACTGTCAATCATTCTCTAATCTACTGCCTTGCCAATGTGTTGGGTTATAAATCCCATTAATAGCAATGGTGGTGGAATTACTAAAGCCTAGTAACATACAATTGGAATAAGCCACTGGGGGCCATAAATTCCAGCACTCTGCTCAGGGCAGGTATCCTGTTTAAAGCACCCCATGCCATCCAAGGCCTATAAATGAAGTGGGGGGAGGAGATAGATAGATACTGATAACCATCTAGTCCTTGCTTCAGCACATCAAATGAAAAGCCCACTATCTGACTCAGTTAATTTGTTCCACTGTCACATTACTTTTTATATTAGATAGGCCACACCCACCCCTTTATATTAAATTTTCTAATATTACTTCCCATATCTTAACTATATTTTTCCATGCACTAAATACTAGAACAAAGTGGAACATGTCTTAACTTCTGTGTGACATCCTTTCATCTATTCAGGATAGAAATTGCATAGCATTTAGACTTATACATCACCCCATGGTGCTTTAAACCACTCTAAGTGGTTTATAGTGTCCCCCAACAATCTGGATCCCCATTTTACAACCTCAGAAGGATGGAGGGTGGAGTCAACTTTGAGTCCCATTAGGATCAAACTTCAGCGCGTAGTCTGAGTTTTCTTGCAATACTGTACTTTAACCCCTGCACCACCAGAATATATTATATCCCTCCTCAAAGTCAAATATATTGAACCATGAATGCATATCTCACTCTAATAACTCAACAAACCATTAGCTTTAGGAATATCATATCCCATATTAATACTTTCTGAAAAAAATACACTGAACTAACACATTTATATAGATGCATTATCATTACATCTGTATATTATAGCTAGGAAAATTGGAATGCCAAAAACCCAGCTCCATTACCCATCCAGGGAGTATATTGAGTTGTAGGCAATTTGTAGACAAGGTGGTTCCTCCTGTCTATTGTGAATTAAGGCTAAAATTGTGACCACTTCCCATAATCTATCTTAACACTTCATTTTAATTCTTTGGGAAGATTAGGGAGGTTCTGCTTTCAGGAGTCTTGTTCGGTTTTCATTAAAATATATATATATATTTTGCTGAACTCTGGATCATGAAACAGAACGAAAGACAAATTCCTTTTGCCTGCAACTAAAAGGCTGGATGGTGTTGAAAGTAGGGGAAACAGTTACAAGAGGAGATCAAGCAAAGTGATCTGGATTTATTTAAGTAAACTTGGGAGCAATGTGGTGTTATGTATTATAACGGAAAATAAAATGAAATTTGACAACGAAAAGCATTCAACATGACACATTGGAAAGGAATACCAAATGTATAATTACCAAACTGGGAGGAAGATTGTCTAGGTTCTAGCATTACTGAGGAGGAATTAGAAGTCACGGAATGAATCTGAAGTGGAGCCAGCAATATAGTATTTCTTAAAACACAACATAAACTACTTGCAGTGGTTTCAACAGCAATCCCAGCTTGCCAGACAGGGAGAAGGTAACAGTGTTATTTGATTTGGCACAGATGAGGTCTCAAGTGCAGCCTCGGGTCCAGTTGTGGTCACCATATTGAAAAAGAAGATTAAACTAAAGTAAAAGGTGTAGAGAGCTGACATTATGGAATGTAAGATGTAGAAAGGCAAACTGGGGGACCTCAGAAAAGGGATGGAGAGACCAATCAGAGCTCTCTCCTGTAGTTAAAGCATTCTCCATGTAGTTAAAGCACTCTCCAGTTTTATCTGAAGCATCTGAAGAAGAGAGTGGTTAAACACAAAGCACGGTGCTTTCATAAATGTCTATTTTTCACTTCTTGCCTGAAGTGGTTCATTTCAGATAGGAAGTAGGCATCACAGATAAAGCA